TTTTTGCTGGTTCGTATTGCTAAAATGAATTAAGGGTTTAAAAATTAAAAAAAAAAGAAACAATTAGTTAGCAAATTGCAGTTATAATGTTTTCAGTTTGATGGGACTTTTAAAGTGTAATTTAAGAAGATTGTTCATTTTCAAATGCAAACCTTTGGGTTTGAGGAATCTCTATTTTAATCCAAGAGTCTGCAACTTTTTTTAGCTTGGTGTAGTGACCTGAAGATTTATGCCAGTAGGCAAAGAGTCTAGTCCTAGATATCTGCATTTATTGGGCTTCTTTCTCCTCAGGGTTGAAGTCTCCCTGGTGATAAATGTGGTACTGAGAGAGTTGCAGTCACTCTTCCAGAGACTAGGGCACAATTCAGTGAACTGTAAAAGTAATGCAAAATGACAATTAAAGTAGGGCATTCTCTGGTACCTTGGGGGCCTGACAAAGTGGAAGCATTTGACTTCTGATGTGCCAGACTTATTAACATAGAAACATAATAAAATATAATCTACCCAAAAGTCTCACTAAAAACCTCACATATCCAGAAGGGAGTTGAGAACAGAAAGCAGTAAGCAAAGAAGGCTTCTGAACAGGTAAAATACAAGCAAATAATAAAACCCAAATCATTGCACAGAAGTTCATATATTAAAGATCATGTAATTTCCCTCTTAGGACAAAAATATCTCAGCTCTCTACTCAGAACTTATTAACTCATGTTCCAGTCTATTCTTACAAATGTAATTATGTAGTTTCCAAAAGCATGGTAGAGTAGAAGCATTGAACTTGAAATGGAAGAGAAGCTGCTTTTGTTCTAACATCACTGATAAGTAGCATCACTGAATATTTGATTGCAAGTTAGTTGAAGGACAGCTGTTGAAAATTAAAGGCAAGACATCAAAAAACAGTACTTTGGGGTCATTGAATATATAGGCAAGACCTTCATGGCACAATGATTTATGTTTAGAAGGGTGCACCAAAATAACAAATAAAATGTACAATTATGTCTTTTTACTCTAAAAGAGCAACATTGTGATATGTTCTAGAAATAAGGTATAATGGTTAGGGTTTTAAATTAGAGTTTCAGTTCTTAAAGGGGAAAGCCGTAAGTTATCTGGAAAACCAAGCTACGCAGAATTATTTATTCTATAGGGATTGTACAAAATCAAGATTTTATTAAAACTAGGCCAAGGAGAAACCTACTCTAAGTGAATTCCTAGAAAAAAAGCTACTTGTTAGAGAAAGGATTTGAGAGAAGTATATTAAGTGATAAAAAGTGACTTATTTGCCATCAAGACTGGAAATAAAAGTTTGCTGTAGACCCATTTTTATGTCAAAATTAGGTTTTTTAGAAACAAATGTTGTTCTTATCTCTTTGCTGTGTTTCTCTGTTAACCTGCCTGTCTCATTAGAGATGGGGACATTTCATAGTGAAATTAATGTGACATTTAGAGAAAATTTCCTCTCTCAAATGTTTCATGTTATTTGCCATTTAGAATACTTAAAGATGGGATTGGAATAATGTCAAACAAATTTTGATTAAATAAGGCTAACCAGGAGCCAATACATGCAAAACAGAAAAGCTCTTGTGTTATTTCTTGAAAAGTGAATTCCTTCTCTGGTTCTTTATCATATATTGAGATAACATCAGTAGATAATTTGACAGAAAAGGTGCAATCTCCTAAACAGCTGGGCTTGCCTTAGAAAACACAGCATATCAGGTCAAAGCCTGTCACCAGTTCTTTGTTCACAACACTAGTTTTCTACCCTGAAGGTACATTAGAATTATCTGGGAAACTTTAAAAAAATACCAATGTCTGGGCCCAACTCCAGGTCAATTATCTCAGAGTCTCTTGAAGTGGATCTTTGGTGACAGTATTTTTTTAAGTTCTTCAGATGATTCTAATGTGCAGTTAGGGTTGAGAACCACTGGCTTAAGACATGAAAACTATTTATTAACACAAGATTGTTTCCTTGTTCAGGGAGGTCTGAGTCTTATTCTATGCTCCACCAGTAGTGAGAAAAAAAAATCTACTCTTTCAGTGCATATGGGTTGGGCTTGAGCACACACCTAGAAAAAATATAAACTAGAATACTTGATATCAGTAGATATAGACCCACCATAAAATAGGCTACCTATGGCCTGTTAACTCAGTTGTTTGGAATATAGCACTAATGAGGCCAAAAGATTGTATCTGTCTAATTAAAATGATTCTGTTCCATATATTGTTCCTATAACTGCAACTAAACTGCTTCATAAAGAGAGATGAAAGTGATTACAAAGGAAAAAGACAATGTACAAATTGGTTTAGCCCCAATCATTCTGAAAAGTTGGTTCTAGGTACCTGCCTCATTTACTAGTGCTACCAATGACATTTAGGATGGAGCATGGGGCATTTGCCCATTATGGTTTGTGCTGATTTGGGGGAAGGGATATTTACATTAGAAGGTTAGGACCCATAAGAATGGGCAGTGCAAAAAAGAATGGGTAGAGTAAAAATAGAAAAAGAGAGGAAAGTGATAAATTACAATGACATTCTTTTACCTACAGTGGCAGATGATTCCTGTAGCATCTGTCCCGAGTTAACTGATTTGTCTTGGGGGTAGGGACTGTTAAGGTGGGAATTCTCGTGGTCATATACATTATTCCATTAGAACCAAGAAGTAGTATATTTGTCAGAGATAAAATTGGTTTGAATTTTCTTCTTTGCCTAAACATGTGGTTCTGGTTTTTTGATGAGAGACCAGATATCCACAGAGCTCCATATTTGTGCTCAGTGAACACAGGCTAGATGCATTCATATGCAAAGCCATGTAAAAATTTCTACTTGAAAACTGACTTTCAAAAAATGTGACAAAAATAAAAAACAAAAAACATGACAGTAGCTTGGGATATTGATCATGCTTTCCCTACAATGCCAATGTCCTCTAGATTTCCTCTCCTTTTTATTTGGAATCTACCATTTTTCTTGCAAAACATGATTTGATAAGTTTGAACCTGGCTGATAGAATACACATGTGCTATTGTTTTATTGCCTGAATGAGGTCAAATTTCTGGTCCTTCTTGGGGTTTCAAGTTTTGAAGATAGCAAAGAATAAGGATTCCCACTATGAGTGATGAGAAATGCAACTGTAATCTCCTTGGATTCATGTTTTATTGTCCATATTTTACAGAGGAGGAAACTGAGGCACACAGAGATTAAATAATGTACCCAAGTTTGCATGGTGAAATGAATAAGTGAACTGTTATTTTAATTTTTAGGGGATGGGGAACTTCCACTCATTAAATTATATGTTGTAGTGATTATCATAGAAGAGCACATTTGATCAACCCCATTTCCCCCTCTTATATTGATAAAATGAATTGACTCAAAAAGCATTTGTTGTTTGACTGACTGATGGATAACCTATCCTAGCAAATACTTAGATTGTATTCCCAACACAGACCTTCAAGTTAGCTTCCTCCTCCTGTAGTTATATTTGCAACAATTTTGCCATTCATTCTCTTATGAACAAATCAGAAATGAACTGACCCCTTTGATTATTACTCTCTCAAACCATTGCTTCTAACAGCACCAAAAATTGCTTGTGGCTTACATTAAAGGGAATATAAACTTCTAGATAAAAGCAGTGCGAGTGGATATTATACAGTGTGTCTTCCAATGAGAGGCATGTGCAAGCGGCACAGATGTACCCCAGTCAATACAGGGCACTGTTGGGTTTTAGTTTCCTTCTCAATACTCTCCTTTCTTCCAACTATTCACCGCCCACTTTTTACTTACTCTAGGTGGTTAGGGTCCTTATTCTGACTGTTGGCTGTTTAGTGCCTATGTGGGAGCTGGATCTGCTATTACCAGTCTCATTTTCTCCTCTATCAAACTGTGAACTCCTTGAAAGCAAGAACTGTATCTAAGAGCCTAGTGCAGTAAATGTGTGACAGGTAATCGTCAGAAAGGTATCTGCTATTTTGTTCTCTAGACAGCTATTGTGTTTCCTTTTCCAGTTGAAGTGATTGCAGAAGGCCCTCAAGGAAAGGTGGGCATTGTAGGGATTTCCTGTAGGAGGCCAGGAGGGTAGAGGAGATGTGTTTGGGCATTTTTCAGTTCCTACAATGGTTCAACAAGAGTTGTACTTTAGTGTTGGGGGTAAGGTCTACTTTACTAGGACATTAACTTACTTCAGTGTAGACTCTTCCCTATCTCCCACCCTTTCTAAGAGGTGCTTCCCCCCCTTCAATTCATCCAGCCATTGGATGCTCATAAATGGTTTTCCCATCTCTTTCATCTGGCAGGTATTCTGCATTTGCTTTTGTAAAACTGTTGCTCTGGCAGTCTGCTGTAACCAGATTAGACAGTAGTGTTTTAATGATAAAAACTGAGACAGGGGTTTGCTTGCAAACTTCATGTCTGACATGAAAGGCTTTGGTACCCCCTGTGGTCTGCCCTTCACCCTGTTTTAGGCATAGTACTTGTTTGCCTTTATATTTGTGATAAAAGAAGGTCTTTCTGCATAACCAGTGCTGAGCAAATGTCTTAAAACAAAGGGAAGTGCAGAGTTTAAATCCACAGTGGGGGATTACCTTGCCTGCATTTCCATATCTTTGGAATAAATATTTTAACATGTTAATTATCTACTACTAATAAAAATACCTTTGAACTTCCAGTCAATTTGATGGGCATAGAATTGTCTCCACTGGGGAATGGGAAGCAATTAGTTTCTGTAACGATTGTGAGTCATATTGTCTCTTCTCTATAAGTGGTTGCATGGTCAGTAGCCAGCCCTCTTCTAGGAAATGTTTGTGCCAAGTCTGTCCTGGTCTGCAGGGGTGAGTTGCTACCTCCACAAAGGATAGCCCCCCCCACCCCTCCCAGGCTGCTGCCCCACTATGGTGTTAGTTTCTGATTCATTTATTGCTTCTTGCCTATTTTAAAAAAATCCTTTTAAGTAGGTACTTGGATTCTTCTTATGAATTACCTGTGTAACATTTTAATTCTTTTTTTTCTTATTACAGACTGAAAATTATTCTTTTGATTCCAACTATGTGAATAGCCGAGCCCATTTAATCAAAAGGTATGTTGATTTGCTTACCTAGCTTGATTTAATATAAAAAAGAAAAACTGAGTTTTTTAAAAACCATACTTTTTTGGATTTTAAAATGAATGCCTATATGCTTATTGTAGAAAGTTTGGAAAATTTAAGTAATTCCATCACTTAAAGGTAATCCTGTTGGCATTTTATCATATTTCTTTCCATTAAAATATATGCATACATATTCACAATTATAAATAAAATTGGAATTATATGAAAATATAGTTTTGTGGATTAAAAATGTAATATGAGAAATATTAGAAAACTTCCAAAATCTTGTTTAGCAAAATACTTGTTGCTATTCATTTTAAAGGCCTTAAAAGTTTTTTTCCTATGGAATTTCCAGTGATTTCTGAGATTGCTGTTATTTTGACAACTTTGAAATATTAAAGATATTTTAATGACAGAAAAATTGACTTTTTATGTTTTATAATGCTTTTTTTAGATGAGACAGGAAAAGAAAATTGCCTGATTTAGTACTCTAGTTAAAGATATTTAGAAGTGTTTCTTTGAATACTGATGAAGATTTCACCTGGTGCAGTGGGCACCAAAGTCATCCAATAGGAAAAAAAATAAGACGTGTAGAAAACCTAAAGAGAGAGAACTAAGCAAAAGAGAAATTTTCTTGTGAATAAAAGTAACAAAACAACAAAAATAATCCAGAACTGACCACTCAGATGATGCCTTTATTACTGTTTCATGTAAATAGCCTCTTGAATGGTCCAGTGGTTATTTGGCAGCTAAAATTGAACACTGAGTGTGTTTGTTAAAATAATGGAAACAAAATAGAAAGGCAAGCAGGGTGTATTAGAGCTGCTGTAGAGAAGATCTGAAGCTTCTATTGTTTTGCTGGCTCTAATCCCATAAATTTACATAAATCACTGGAAGGGTAGGATTCACATAATAAACTAGCTTGTTGTACAAGTAACTTGAATTCATATCTAATTTAATTCATGGTGCTACAGTAACCCCCCCCCCCCTCCACATCATGCTACGTTTATCTGTATCAGTTTGGGACAGCTTGTGACCTTAAGTGATGATCATTAATCATCTGAAAATGGAAAGCACTGTATCCCAGGCATAGTATAGTTTGAAATTTTTCTGAAGGGTTAAGAAGAATCCATTTAGAATATTTTCTTGGTCTACAGAATAAAACAAACAGTGAGGAATTTAAAATTCTCTGACTAGTTTGTTTTAATGGGAAGGAAAAATCTTTACAAACACTGATTAGAGTGGCTTTACAGTAGAGGTCTGCTTTGTTTTCTGCTTCAAGATTGTTGTTTTCAAAGCTTCTTTTAAAATTTCTAGTGAAAACAGTGACTTGCCTTATCCTTACAGGTCCCTTGGGCAAGCTATTTCTGGATACTTGGGAATTCTATGACCAAGTTAAATTGATAACATGAGTCGTATTTTCATTGCCTGGCGGAAAGCTAAGACTCCTGGGGACCCTCAAGTCTTAGGTCAGCCCTGAATATCCAATTTAAAAGGCAGACTGATGAAATTAAAACTTATGTCAAACATTTACCTTTTGGGATACGTGCATTTCCACAATAGCTTTTTGACTCACTGGGAACTGGGAATCTCTCATTTGATTACTTTATAACACACACACACACACACACACACACACAGAGAGAGAGAGAGAGAGAGAGAGAGAGAGAGAAGGCATGACCTGGAATTAATAGGGCCTGATGGTGGCTGAAACAAAAACTAGGAGTTTTTAAGTCTTCACTAAGGACCTTCTTCATTATTTTTTCATTGACAAATACAACTTTGTTTATTTACTAAATACATCATGGTATTTTATACTATATATACAAGGTAAAATGACTAAATAGAATGAATTAGCACAATCATTATTTCATATAATTATCAGTTTTGTGCTTACAAGGTATTGTATTCCTTCTACTAGTTTTATGAAAAACATAATACAATGACCATGTGGTAAAACAAAACTCTTTACCCTCTTATGCTCAATAAAATAAAAATATGGAGACTTTGACTGTAATATCAACCCTTCACAAAACACAGTATCTGGTGAGCAAAATTTTACTCACTAAATTTCTGACTTCCACATGTGAATCAAATGCTCCTGCAAGTTAATATCTGCTTGCCACATTTCACTTAATGCAAAGTCCTGCATATATTTCTTATAAGACTTTAAGAGATAAAATATTCTTACAACTAAATAACAATAGTATATAAGTACAATATTTTTACACATTTGATCATTGATGGGCACATGCATTGAGTTAAGGACCTTCTTCATTAAGACAAAATATTTTAAAGCAGAGAGACATACATGCATTTTTGCCAGTTTCTGTTATGGGACTGCAAAGGTTTTGGAAAACCATTAAGGCTTTGGAATTTATGGGGTCAATTGAGTTTAGACAAAGAACAATACCTGGAAAGATACAGGGTGCTATTTTGTATGCTATGCTTTCCTGTGGAGTAACCATTATAAGTATAAAGTGTGGGGAAAATGTTAAAAGAGAGTAGTTACTAACACCAGGTGATCAAACCAGGCAAAGTATGTTCAAATAGCTCACAACAATGTTTGAAAGGGTTTTTTTCCATATGTGGTTTCTTGAAGATCCATATCTATGCATGGGAAAAGCTCTTGGCCAGGAAATTCTTAATTGGATTATAAATTTTAATTTTGAAAATGCCAGTCCAATCTCAAGCCTACTTTGTGAACTTGTTTTCCTATCTCTTTTCTCAGCCTCTGTTCATTATCTACTCATCCAAGGATGTTTCTTGAATCATTCTTCCTGGCGTTCTTGGACAATCTATTTATACATGGGCATCTTTTCCTCTTTCATATATATCTACCTTAGATAGTTGAATAGGCCTGTCATTATTCTCTAATTTTTTCCTGTATCAATCAGGAAATAGTTACATGATATAGTTGACACACTGAATTGTAATAATTTAAGGAAAGTTCTTTTTTACAAAGGGACTATTTGCAAAGACTTGGGCAAGAGATATCACAGTATTCTGGTATAAGAACAATAGAGTTGAAAATACTTTTGAAAAGACTAGGGAAGAGAGCAAGGAGGGAACATTGACTACAGAATAATAGTGACTTCTGGTCAATTGAAGGATACAGTCACCATTAAGTGACCCTGCAAGAGGGGAGCAGAGATAATGAATACCCTAACATCACTCTCCTCTTACCCTCTGACCTCCTTCTCATGTCCTCCATGGGCTAATCCCAATGGAATGCCACAGGGCAAGGGGATTTTTCACAGGCATAAATCAAAGTTGAGAAGAGTCAAGAGTGAATATAGAAGGGAACAGGAAGATATATGGCACATTCTCCATAATATTTTTTAATAAAGAATCTAGCATTATATCTTTGTAGTTTTTTTTTTTTTCCTTCAGAACATCATCTGCAGTCTGGAGGTATCTCAAGGAGGTTTATAAAAGAGTTCCAGATTAGCAAACCAAGAGAGTTTGAAAATTATTCTGGATGGATTTCCTTCCTGCTGTATTTGTTTTCTTGCTATCTTCTCAGAAGAAGAAAGCCAGCAGTGGTACTTTGCCCCTGATGCAACACTGTCTTTGCTCATGCCTGCTTTCTATGCTGTTGTCTGATATCCACTCCTGTAGTGCTTTTGGAGCAATATCAAGCAGGGCCTAAGGATGTAGATCAAAGGAAATAGAATAAGAAATGAACAAGATGCTGAAGCAGCATGGAAAGGAAAATGAACATCAGCTCCTAATTCATGCACAGTGCTTTCCTTTATCACCAACATTGTCCTGAGATTTTGTAGCATTTGGTATGGTGCCTTGAATATAGTAAGTGCTTGGTACATGGTTATTGAATGAATGGAAGAAGGAAGTTGAAGGAAACCTCAGCTTTTTTTCATTAAAAAACTAGTGCTAAACTTCCCTTTAGGCCAGTGATTTCTGAACTTTAGTGTGTGTTGGGAATCACCTAAGAGACTTGTTAAATACAGTCTCTAGCACCATTCTTAGAGAACCTCCAGTTTTAACAGGTTCCCAAGGTGATTGTGATACAGCTGGTCTAGAAACCACTTTAGGATCTTCCTTAGATTCCTTAAACACAGTTATAATACTCTTTCAACTCTTACCCCCTTCTTATTTTTAGTCTCAGCTGTATTCCCTGGGTATGTGGTGTCACCTACTGGGAAGATATGGCCTATTTCCTTTCAGATTCTTCATATTATTGAAAAAGATTCTAATATTTTAAAAGAATTCTAATATTTTAAATGGTAGATACAGATCAGAATGTGTATGATGCTCATTCATCAAGCATTTTCTGAGTAACTCTGTATGCAGAGTCCTGTTAAGGTGTTTTCAAGAGAATTTGTCCTGTTGGCCACCAGAACAGTAATAGAAACATTTGCATTTATAATACCATTGCAAACAGGTACCCTTAATTTATTGTCCTACACAAGTTGTTTTATAAGTCTTTCATCTCCCAAGAGGTACACAGGTAATAAAGTAAGTGAAATCAGCATTTTTTATGCCTGACATAAATTGTTATTTGTTTTGGGTGAGTAGCCATTTATCAGACTGCTTTACAATTTGTAGCATCTTGCTCACTGAGTCTTAAACTGCCTTACACAAATCCATTCATTAAGCCAATAAATGTCCTTACAAGATCAGGGTCAGTGGTACTTAGTTTGTCAGATGAGCAAAGTGATCCTTAAATGAGTTAACTATTCCAAGGTTTGGGGGAGGGTAGTGGTTATATCTTTTGCTTTTCCTTTTGAGAATACACAACTTCTCAAATTCACACTACCAGTCCCTTAGATTCCAGTAGCTAGTCCTTTATAGTTTTGTTTTATTATTTCTATCCTTTTTGCCTAAAGAAAAAAGCTCTGAGGTAGTTTATAACATTCAGATGCATATAAGATGGATGATCAAATTTTAAAAAGGCAGATCAAAAACCAATTAGGAGAAGCAAGATAGAGATTCCTGGTATCCAGGGAGTTAACTCAGTGCAATTCAAGATTACATTTACCTTGCATCTTTTGAGATGCCAAGACTGAAAAATAAATGCATCAGGTCATATAGTTCTCATTATTCAATTAAGAAAGTGTACATATTTGAGAGAACTACTTTTTTTCTGTTACTGAATTTTAGGAGAAATAACATTATGGACAATGTCTGACTGTTGTTTACAGAAGGTGTAGAAATAGTCTTTAAATATAAATTTTCCTATACAATCTGGTAAAAGACCATGGATATAATATTTAGTTACAATTCAATGAAGGTATTACCATGCAGGTAATGATCATAGTAAATTGTACTATTTATTGAGCATTTGTATATGTGATACTTCATGTGTATTGTCTTGTTGAACCCTCAAAATGGTCTTTTGAAGGAGAGTTTAGCAACTATATTTTACAGACAAGGAAATTGAGACTCAAAGACATCAGATATCAAGCCTAGGATCACATAGATTAAGGAGCAGATGACAGATTTTCATGTATCCTAATGACTCCAAGTTCAGTGCTTTTTCCAGTATAGTCTGTTACAGGAATAGAGTTTAGAGAATCTAAAGCAGTTGTTCTCAACTGGGGGTGATTTGACAGTATCTCCCTGGAGACAAAATGATTGTTATTCTTGTGGGCCACTACTGTCAGCTCATGGATAAAGCTCAGGGATGTTGTTAAACATCTTACAATGCACAGGACAGCCACAGCAAAGAATTATGTGGCCAAGAATGTCAATAGTGCCAAGGTTAAGAAACCCTGCTCTGAAGGATGGTCAACTACATTGTCCTTGCACTCTATCCCTCACCATCATATATCTTATGTAAGTTTTGGCAACTGCTGAAATGCAGTCAATTCAGAATTGAATTTTCTGGCTTAACATGCCAGTTTTGTTTTGGGGATTAAATAAGTTTTCATTATGTTTCAGATAACAGATAATACAGGTTGTGAGTTAATTTTTGTTATCAAAATGGAACAGTCTGTAATATCATCCAGACAGGTCATTTCCCTTCTCTTGAAGAATATGAGTGCTTGTAGGCAGGGCTAATTGTTTTTCTAAAGTACAAACTTTGAATCTATTTAAACTGTGGAATTGGTATTTACAGAATCTGTACCATAAAGCTAGAAATTATAAGACACTTCAAATGAAGTGTTTCCAATTGGTCTTCTTGACCATGAAAAAATTATAGAATGATTTTGTTTTAATAGAGCTGCATCCTGGTATGTTCATAGGGCTGTTATCTGAGTGAGCTGGCCTATTAAGTGATTTTAGTTTTAGTGAAGTAAGCTGATGCTCAGTTATCCTTTCTGAAAATAATTACCCAACAGGCCAGTGCTTCACTCTATCCTCCTCTTCATTTTCTTATACATATTGCTTTCCAGTTATTACTCTCTTGATCTTTTCCTTTTAAAATTCAGGTCAGCCAGTTTTTAGCACCTAGTTGGGTCATATGTTAAAAATTAGTTGTGATTCCTCTTGGCCAAGTGCAAAGAACTACAGTGTATTTATTGTGTATATGGCACAGCTCTTCATCATATGTACTGAATATTCTTATGAAAGTCTCAGAGAGTCAGGCCTGTGAATGTTGAAAGTTGAGCAGATCAAGCGAGTTTGCAGTACTATCTCCACAGGGCTCCCTTTGCAGAGGCACAGTAAGTCTATTGGGGCTTGTCCTAATTCACAAGTGTGCCACTCTTCCTTGTTAGGACAGCAACACATTTTCTTGAGTGTGCCTTTGCTACTATCTCACTAACTAGGGAATGGATTCACCATCCACTACTTACTTTAGATGCATAATGTACAATCCATGGTATAGCACAATTGCAGATTCAGGCAAGATGTACAAAGTATTATAAATAGCAGGTGGGTTCTTTATGGGTATACTTTGTATATTACTCTCTGTGAAAAATGATGTGGAGTTCTTGGCTAGTATGCTTAGTGCCTTGTGTGGTGCATTGGTTTAATAAATGCAGGAAAAATTTACCCACAAACTCTTGAGCTGACAGTTTTCTTGATTTTAGTATATCCACAGTTACATTAATGCTTGCTCTCTGGCTCTCACTTTTATCTTACCTTCTATATTAGAGTTTTCCAGAGAAAGAGAACCAATAGGCATTTAAATATCTATATCTGTCTGGAAAAAGTTTTATTGTAAGTTACTTGTTCATGCAGTTATGTTGGCCGAGAAGTCCTGTGATCTTCCATTTAGAAGCTATAGAACCAGGAAGGCTGGCAATGTAGTTGAAGGCCTGAGAACCAGATACCCAATGGTATACATTCCAATTTGTTTCTCAAGGCTTAAGAACAAGGAGCAGTGAGTATAAGAGACAATTGATGTCCCAGCTCAGACAATTTGGCAGAGAGCAAATTCAATCTTTTGCCTTTTTGTTCTATTCAGGCCTAGGAGGGATTAGATAATACCCATCCACCCTGGGGAGAGTCACATGCTTTACTCAATTTCACAATTCAATTCCTAATCTCTTCTGGAAACACCCTTACAGACATATCTAGAAATTACATTTTTCTAGCTAGCTGGGCATCCTGTGGCCCAGTCAAATTGACACAGAATTAGCCATCATACCTTCCATGCACCAAGGTTCTTTTCTCACCTCCTCTTTTTCTTTGAATCTGTCCTTTTTCCTTTTTCAGTTAAAACTGATCTGAGTTCTCTAATTCTGACAGCCCTTTCTATTTTAATTGTGTTGTATCAACTTCTTCCACTCTTATTTTTTTACCATTGGTTAGTAGACATATTTGGAGAAGCATTATACATAGTGGTTAAGTTCTAGGCTCTGGAGCTAGACTATCTGGATTTGGTATTAGATATGATAAACTTCTTGTCAGCCATGTGACCTTGTGCAAGTTATTTAATTTCTATGTATCTTTGCTATCTCATCTATAAATATGAATATTAGTAGCACCTTTCTCTGATAGAGCTGTGATGACTTAAAAAGTTAATGTTAAGCACTTGAAACAGTTACTCATGAATAGTAATCTCTCACTAAAAATTCAATTGTATTAAAACAGAAAAATCCTGAGATGACAGCATTCTTTAGAGGTGGTTGTTTTAGATTTTTATCTTCTTGTATCTTGCTTATAGTGATGCACTGAAAATGAGTGAATGAAAATATTAGTTGCATCAGCATCCAATAGTGGGAACTTCTCTGCAATGTTAAGTTCCATTATCTTTAAACAAAATTTTCTCTTCCCCTCATCCCTGCTCTGTTGGGCAATCTAGCCACTGTTGGCTCCATTACAGAACTGACATCATCCTGGCTTGGAAAGATTTTAAAAGTCAGATCTATCACAGTCGTAAATGAACATTCTTTCTTCAACCCAGCAGCTCCACCTTCAAGGACCTAGAGGGCAACAGCCTGAAGGATAGTGGACATGAGGAGAGTGACCAGACTGACAGTGAGCATGATGTCCAGAGGAGCCTGTATTGTGATACTGCTGTCAACGATGTGCTGAATACCAGTGTGACGTCCATGGGATCTCAGATGCCTGACCATGGTAAGGGTTGACTGATTGTAAGTTACAACAATAGACTCCAAAGAACCCAGAATGTTTGCAGGCACAATTTACTACTTTAATGAATGTGGTATCAAGTTATCCACTAAGTTCATAACTCGGCAGCACCTACAGCAGAATCTAGTCAGATTCTTCTGCTTCCCTGAATGATTCCCTCAGGATCATATACTGTTTGGTCATTTTACAGGATAACACCATATACATATTGCGTGCATTCACTTCAATAGTAACTGCACTGAGCGAGCACACAGGAAATGGACAGATGCCTTCTCACCAGGAATAAATGCCTCTTTTTGCTATGGTGCCTGAATTCAGCTGATCAATTGAGTTGCATAGAACACAACTCTAATGAGACCAGAGGGGTAGGTTTTATTTCCCAATCAGGCTAGTTAGATTTACCGGGAGAGACACTGTTCTCTGACTACAGATTGTGTGTGCTCTTTACTGAGGATTGAAAGTACTGAACTTCCCATTTTGTCTGGCTGCCACATGAATCCATGCCATCAGTCATAGGGGAGACCAGGGCAAGAGAATGCAGCTGAATCAATGTAAAACATTCCACTAATGTGGAAAGCACATGTCAGGAGCAGCGTCCTCATGTATGAAGAAGGATCTGTTTTTGTGAACTCAGCCACATATCCCTCAGCAAGAAGCACTATTTAAAATTATGCTAGGCAGAAACCAGGATATAAAAGCATAAGCAGAGTTCAGGAAGGCAGAATGTTCAGATGGACTTGGGCACAAATGTCATTTTCAATATTTTACTGATGCTAACATGCTGTGCAAACAGCCTGTCCTTTTCAATTAAGAAGTATGAATTCAACTTAGTGTAGTGTTTAGGCTCAGTGAAGCTTCAGAATACTTGGCTATGTCTTAGAGAAGCTAGGCTCAAGCTCAGCTGGAAGTCCTACTGCTAAAAGTCTTAAAGACGAGGAAACAAAATATGGTGATTTTGTGCTGGTCTTCAGCTGTTTCATTTCACTGTAAACATCATTAAATGCTTTTGTTTTGGTTTTGTAAATGAATCAAAAAATGCATGATTCACAAAACAAAATGTTTTCTATGGGAAAAATAGTCACTGTAGATTTTATTAAATTGCTAATCCATTCCTTACCCAGCAGACCCAAGTGTCAAAGTCCATAATATAGAGAGGTCACTACCAATTGTTCACTGCTGCCTTCCCTAATTGGTGAGTGGTGACATCTGCCGAGATAATATACTTTCTGGGGATCCTTACTATGACTAAGGATAAAAAAATAAACATTTATATAACTGAAACAGGAGCAATTTAATTCTCAGAGAATTAGCAGTGTGTCACAGGATGCAGACAGATATGTATCGTTTACTCCTTGCATGTGTCTCAAAGAAATGCTTTTTTCATTTATATCAGAAAGGGTTTTAGTTAGGTGCTCTGTGAAATGAAATGACTCCAGGAAAAGAAATAGTCATAATTGATTCTCACTTTATGCCTGGCTAGAACAACATCTGTTTTAATTTTTAGCACATTTCTCTAGGAAAATAATATAAGTGGACTGTAGCTAGATTTTCTGTTTCTTACAAATGGGATGCATTATATATTGTGTAGATTGGATAATAATGAGAATATTCTAAAGCAAGATGTGACAGTATCCCAAGATTCTCCTATTATAAGAGATGATTAGACACACACACACACACATGCACAGATGTACTTTTTGTTCCATTTTGGCAATACTTCTTCATTTGTTTCTCAGTATTTGATTTGCAAATGCGTGTTCATTATTTTTCCCATTATTCCAGCAGTGGCTGAACTTTGAGCCAATGCTTAGGTTGGTTCTTTACAACTTGAGTGGCTAAAATTTATGTATGAAGGTCTTTTTTACATAGTCTGTACCTTGTGATATCCCACTATTTCTGAAGATTTCCATAATGATATTTAATTGTGTGTCCTAAATCAACTCTAGGCTTGCCACACAGATTGTGTCACCACAATCTTGGGTTGATTATTACTACCTCAAAACATAGCAATATTCCAGCAATTAACATTTTACTATTTCAACCTGCACTCCCATGGTAAGTGTATTTCATTTTATCCTAAGGAACAGTTGTGGGAATGCAGTTGCTGGTGAATCTACCATACATGCCTGATCTTGAAGTTCTCAGCCTAAACTTTGATCCTGATATTTCTTTTGGTTCTGCTAGAACCACTCCAAATTTGGCCTAGATTCACCCAATAGAGTGGACCTTATATCATTGTATTGAATAGTTTGGTTCACCTTGGATATCCTATTTGTGGCTCTATGACATTTCTAATTTCAATATTGATACTGCATCTTCCTTTGCATGTATGTGGACATGTAATTGATAGAGAAGTCTCAGAATTTTCAAAATTAAGAAAATTTCTGCATTTGTTCATTTTTACTTGAGCAGGAATGGTTTGTTCAGTGATCTATTATTGTGTTGCTAGTGTTCGAAGAAGTGATATAAAATGTATTTGTTCCTCCTTTTCTGAGAGACACTGGGCCCTGTGCTTCTTCACACTGCTAAAAGTTCCTCTGGGATTTGTACTTATAACTATACTATACAGTAGCAGAAGAATGCTAAGTGTGAATGCTAAGGGTGCTTTATGACTTATGTAAGGGCCCAAGTGTCTAAAGTTTCAATAACTATTCACTGAGAACTTTACAAGCCATTGGAATTCAGAATCAATAGTTTCAGTGAAGAAAGTGGAATATGTAAAAGACTTTTTAATGCAGAGGCCAAAGTTCAGGTATTTAGTCATTGACAGTTTGCATTGTTTTGATTACCCCATCCAAACACATTCGTGAGCTGGATCAGAGTAGAGATAAGAAGGAATGATAGGAATCTCTGCTTTCTGTCTTACTTTCAATCCTGGCATCTCTCTTAACATGTCTAAAACCAGGTCAGTAGGTTGATGAACTAGTTGAACTGAATTTTCTGGTTGCCAGCTGACTGAATTACAAACTTATTTGTCATCCATCATGCTCAGGAATTAATGTCTCTCCCTAGTTCATTGGCTTTTATCATCATGGCTTCCCAGAAATGAACGCGAATAAATAACTCTTTAACTTGTGCTTTTTTAATGGCACATGGTACTGCTTAAGATGCTATTTCCCCATAGCTCTCAGAGGACCTTGACAACAAGTAAATGTGGTCATTTTGAGCAGGTTTAATGCCTCATTTGGAGCTTGAGAGTCACAATCAAATCTTCCCTCCCTGAATTTATTTGGTAAACTGACTACCTTCTGGTGGGGATAGGAATTTTGCCTCATACAATTCCTACAGGCAAATCTCTAAGAGGAGCAATTGACAAGTAGGATGGTCAGAGGTGCCAGAAGCTCATGGGTTTGTTGCATGATTTCGGATATGACTGGGTTTGAAATTCTTCCTATCCTGGTTATTTCTGAGTTGAATAGTGGTGAAGTTAATAGACTTCTGGCTCCTCCTTGCTTCTTTGCATGACCATTTATGATGACTTGTGTATTCCATTATGCTTACTTAAAAATGCAGTCCTGATATGAAATTGGGGTTTTGGGGGATCATATTGTAGAACTGTACTCTAGTCCCAAGTCCAACTAATTTGCTCCAAATCATACCCAGTCTCTTTTCCCTTATGATTTTAATTATTGATTATAAATTCTTCAGTTGAGAAGAAGACTCTAATTGCTCTAATATGCACCCAATTTGGAGTTCAGTACACACTGAATTGATTTCCTTCCCATGTTAATTGATACCAAATGGAAGCCATGTACAGAAATTTGCAGTAACATTTATCTCCTTTTCACATCTGGAAGAAATATAATGATTCTTTATTTCTGGAAGTGTAGGTTTTTCTGGATTTTATTAAACTTGTTTATTTACCAATCTTATCACCTAATACCATTCAACATATTTTCTGTGCAAAACATGGATTCGAAGAACTTGATCTGTGCCTAATGCAACTGCTGCTACAAATTAGCCATGAAGGGGGCTGAGGTTGTGGCTCAGTGTTAGAGCACTCGCCTAGCACATGTGAGGCACTGGGTTTGATCCTCCGAACCACATAAAAATAAATAAATAAAATAAAGGTATATATACATGGAGTAAAACTTATAAAAAATTAGCTATTAAAATGTTCTATAGTCTGCATTCTACCCATAGTATAATGTTAACCACGGGTGTATTAAGCTGTTTACACTTTCAACACTATACAAACAATGTGCAATTTCATTTTCTCTAGCCTTTTAATGAAACTGTGATTCAGTGACTAAATATCCCTTTCTTTATCCTTTTACCTATCCCCCTGACTCACCTTCCATATCACTAAATTTCCAAACACTCAATTAATTCATTTCAATTAATCTCTTGGAAAAATAGGGAGTTCTCAATGGAGAATATTTTGTGACATTGCAAAGCAGTGTGCTGCTGGGCTCCAGAAATGGTAGCATAGACCAGATATTCATAAAGTAATTGAAAATTCCATTTTATCAGAATAGCATTTGCTGTCAAAAAGTTTTATCTTTACTTCAACAAAGAGGTTGATTAGATCCCCCTGGACCTGAATTAGCATCTTTTAGGCTAGATATACTGTTTTGCAATTCATGCGGTTATTTCTTCCCTAGTTTTGCTCATATAGAATTTTTTTTAAAAAATGTCTCCATTCTCTTGAAAATATACTGAGTGAAATGTTTAATTATTTGAACATAGGTTTGTGTATATAGTGTTTCTATGTGACTTTCAGATTCTTTCATCCTGCCTCAAGTATTACTACTACTAGCCAGGATTAATCTATTTACAGATATACCTTATTCATTTATTCAACAATATTTTTGAGGGTGCACTATGTGTTGGGCTCTGGGAAGTGTTATTCACTGTAAGCAATTATCTTTTTACTTTGGCTTACCTGGGGTTTATTGAGATGACCAAGTTCACCTGAATGATAAAATCAACAATTTTTATTTTAAAGACCATAAGAATAGGGCTTGCAACTATTAGAAAATTTG